TTACACCAAAGGAATATAACAAAAAAATACAAAACATATAATTAATAAAGTAAATTAATTACAATACGAAGAAGCAAATTTACTTAATAGGCTGTTTGGTAATGTGTTTATAATGACGAAGTAAAAAAATTAAACCTTCAAATATAATTTACACGCTATGTTTTTTTTTTATTATTTGTGTTGTAGAGCTATGAAATAAATCTACATACATAAAAATACTAGCTTTTAGCCGCGGCTTCGCTCGCGTTGAAGCCCTTAAATAAATATCTTTTTTTTTTTTAATATATTTTTTTTAATAAAAAGCACCCCATTGTATGGATTTGTATTTTTGTGGTTTATTATTCAATGTCATTTTTACTGTACAATAAAGAATATTTCATTCATTCATTCATTCATCATATGACCTTTTTAATCTCTACGTTAATTTCTACGTTTACCAGCCTTACAGAAACCGGGAGTTAGTGTACATATGCGTACTTAGTCAGCTTGTAATACACAGATCACCAGCTAATTGCTCAAATACAACGAACTCAAGACTGATGGAAGGGAACTATTATACTTCTGCGCTTCGACCGGTGAGTGAGGTAACCTGGGCCCACTCTATTAATATTTGGAAAGCATCTGCGATACCACGGGTGTGTTCGAGCGTTGGCAATCACTTAATATCGGGTGAACCGCCTGCTACCACCTTGTCATATTCAAAAAATATTCCGGAAGGGTGTTATTACGTGTATATCACAACTTCATAGCGTATGATCGGCACTTCCAAACGAACCGTCAAATCCCTGAAATTATCTCTATCGACTTATCGATATTTAAATAATTGTATATAAAGCTGTCTCGCAATCCGGAAGGCGCAGGAGAATTCTGGCTCAGAAATCTTTAAGCTGCGCCTTAAGTGCAGGGACCGGCATTAACAATTCAAATTTCAAAGACTTATCGATATACGAGTATATCGACAAGTCTTAGTCAGAGATATCGATTTCACGGTGGTAGTGCCACGCAACAGTGTGTTGCAACGCTGTTGCACGAATGGGCAGGTCCATCCGGGTTAGTACCACGACCTCAAAGAAGACCGGCGTTAAGTAGTAGTGTTGCACTTCTGCGTTTCGTCTGGTCAGTGAGGTAGCCGGGGCCCACTTTATTAAGAGGTGGCACTGTATCTGCAACCCTGCGGGTGTTGCAAATGTCCATGAGCATGCGTTTATCAGGTGAACTGCCAGCTCGTTTGCCACTTGCTCACATAAAAAAAAATATATAGCACATCCCTAAGCAATCCTGTAATCTGACTAATAAACTAGCAAGTTTTTATTGGCGCTTGCGAAATTCTAATGGTGCGCCAGTTGGTAGACGGTGCAAGCAGATTTTTTACGATGTCGCTTAAGGATGGAAAACAGTTTTATTGCTCCGATTATAACGTACGGCCAGCTTTGCGTTTCTTCCTGCATACCTATGGACTTCATTCGCAGAACATTGGACACCTTGTAATGTTTTTATGTCTTGTAATGTATGTACTAATAAGCACAGTTGTTACTGTTTGGTGAAAATTTCCGAAATATACGATAATCCAAAATAATTCATATAACGAATAACAGCTGTATAAGGTATGGAGTTATAAAACATTCAACTAAACCAAAAATAAAATTGCAAAAATTTTAGTGAAAACCAGAAAATCATAAATGGCCATTTTCAGAAGTTATATGTATCCGTTTGTCTGAAAGTTTATCTCGGAAAAGCTCCAAGGCGACTCGACGGATTTCAATGAAAATTATAGCGTTTAGAAAAATATTTTAATTTAAATTTGCGTGTGTTACATTTCATCTTCAGAGTTCACAGATTATATTCGCAATGAGTATATATCATTGACAGGATTTATTTCTATTTATTTATGTATTTACGCACATAGTTTTTTTTCAGTGTCTCGGTGTTTATTTATAATAGAAAAGTATGTTTAAGTATGTTTATCAGTTTTCACATAGTACAAGCGTTGCTTAGTGTAGGTCTAGAGAACGTTTTGAATATGTGTCCAAAAAATATTTATTTTTATAACTATAATATCAGACCAGAATCTACCAAAGGCTCTTGGTAGATTCTGGTAACTCCAGGGTCGATCTAGCCTATTCATAGAACGGAAAAAGCTGCTTTATGGTAACCAGTATAACTTTTTACTTATTTATAACTCAAACAGTGCCGTAGACCATGAGCGCACTGGCTTCAAAAGAAATTAACTAAACAACGTTTGGTCAAATCAGCGGGTATACATACTAGTCAATTTATGGGCTGTGCTCTAATACCTCTCGTAATTTAATTAGAGAAGTACATATAAGCTTTGACTTGTTAGAAAATAACAAGTTTATTAAACACTTTATACGTTGATTAGACTGTGTGTAGCTATGGAGGGTCGTTGAGAGTGATTAGGCCTATATTAGTCAAACAGAATCTGGTCTTTTAAAGGGACTTTGGAGTCAATGAATGCTGTTAGGTTTCCATATCCACTCGATTATCAACCTTATCTTGTCCAGTTAAAGTGAAATTTTGAATGATGAGCGATTGCCAAAAAATTTAAGCACGAATGACGCGGGGTTAAGAAGCTTAAATCAATGAGAACGACATCATCCTTTGAGCAAATGGGGGACCGTTGTTCCTCCTTAATATTGCACGTATAAAGTAGTTATTCAGATATGACAAAAGGAAAGCTCTAAGGTCGTCCATTGAAAATCTGTTCTTGAATTATCTAAGCGAGGCGAGCCTGCGCCGTGGTTTAATCAAATGTTTATCAAAATCTTACGCGTGACGTAATATAGAACAAAAAAAATCGACGCAATGAAAATAGTTAAAACTCTATTTTCTTCCGTTTCCATGCTGCCAGTTATAAAGTACCATAAAAGCTTTTTGGACGTCATTTATGTTATAGCCAACGTAATTTCGAACAACGATCATGAATTTTAGTCGCGTTTAGAAAAAAATCTATATTGAACAGTTTGTGTCTTGGTAGACAGTCTGTGAACTCAAAGTCACACACACATTATATGAACAAAAACTAAGTTAAATTATATTCGTGCGTTAAATTAAATTATAACTCTTAAACATTTCGTAATAAAATTCAACAATAAATTTCGAATTTAATTGTAATTCACAGTTATTTACTTCCGAGTATCTACTACGGCTATCAGTGTATTGGTTGTGTATTTTGGTGGCCCAGTAGTGCAGTTGCCAAGCTTTGACTTCGGATCATGGGTTCGATTCACAAATTGGTCTAGTGTCGTGTGCGGTTCACAGACCATTTTTTAAAAAGAATTATACCTTTAGTTTAGGATAAAATTATCCTGTGTTGTAAGGACGTTTTTACAACTATCATTACACGCGAACAAACACCCAGATGCGAAACAACTGTCTGTAGGTCACACAAATAGTTGTCCCGTGCGGGAATCGAACCCGCAACCCCCGACGCCGAAGCCAATACCATGGCAACTGCGCCACGGAGTCATCTGACCATTTCTTCGGATCTGGGTGTTATTGGCAAGGAAGGTTAACATATTGTTTAATTGAAAAAAATAAACATAATAATTGACGGTAGCCGGGGTTAACTATGACATCAAGACATATAACAACTTAGTCTGTCCCGTGACCATGAACGCTGGAAAGGGTTCGAAACGTCAGGAATTTATATCAAAATAAAAAACGCGATAAAATCCCTAAAGTAGTTTCATTTAATAAGGAAGGTTAAAATCAGGCAGGCTGATCTTAAAAATAACCTATCCAATATCACTAACAATCTGTTTCAAATTTTCTGGTGGACCTTTAGGATAAAGAGGACGATAATGATTGGACTTAATAAGTAAGTTTTTTTTTCTCTTAAAAGCACTAATAATACACAGCACATCGTTATTAGATTCAGCAGTCTTACTAACTGTTCGATCCACAAATAACTGTATAATGTACTATTATGCCAACCTCAAACAGCACCCATAAGAAGAAAATGAAATTAACATTTAAGAAGAGGTAACTTTTAGACAATACATTTATCTAGGTCTTGTATCTTGTATCTAGTATTATCTGATGTTAAAGCTTTCAGTGCCGAGACTATTAAAGCTTCGTCGAACGCAGAACCGGTGGGCTAGGCATAACCCACGGGTTTGAGGCCCTCCACAGTGGGAAGGGCTGCGCATGTGCTCATGTATGCGTTAGCTAAGGAGAAATTTATCTAGGTGTATTTCGCAAGCCTCGTGTATAGAGTACATAACGCTTGAGGCATTCTCTATGCAGCGATGAAGGAAGAGATGACTAAATGTTTAAATACCACATAACAATATATACATAATACTTGGATAGTTAATAATAATATGGAACAAAAATAATAATTGATCTGCCAACTTAATAACAGTTTTCTGTAATTATAGTTTTCGAACTTTTATTTTAAATGCTTATTTTATTTTATATGAAGATGAAGAAAAACTGTTTTTTTACGTGAAAATTTGCCAAGCGAACAGACGGTTCACCTGATGTTAAGTGACTACCGCTACCATGGACGTCTGCTACAACCGAGGGTTCCATATGCGTTGACAACATTTTGAAAATTACGCTCCGGCCACCTCACTCACCAGACGAAACGATTATAATTTACGCCGGTCTTCTGTGAGGTCGTGGTTTTTACTCGGACTAGCCTGCCCATTCATGCAACAGCCGAGGCTGCTGCGTGGTCCTATCACCGTAAATGATGACCGAGGAGGAGTAAGAGTTCTCGAGTGGCGAACACGAACCGGAAGACGTAGCGTTGGAAGGCCTCCCTCTGTCCCTCCCTCGGTGGACCGACGACATCATAAGAGTCGCGGGCAACCAGTGGATGCAAATCGCAGTGTCATTCGTTGTGGCGTTCTAAGAGGGGGCCTATGCTCAACAGTGGACGTCTTGCGGCTGATGATCATGATGATGATGTCATAAAGGTGAAGGAATGTTGTACATTCGTATGATGAGAGAATTATCAAAAATGGCATACTCACCAGAACAGGTAGTTGCACCATTGGTCTCTGCAACAAATAGTAAAGATGATTCCTTTTCTGTTCTATTGTTGTAACGCAATAAATTTAAATAATGTTATTTTTCCTTTCCCTTCAACCGACTTCAAAAAAGGAGGAGTTTGCCGGTCCGCTTATATTTTTTATCTTTGCTACTTAAAGACTCCGTCATTTATGAACCGATTTTAATTATGAATGCAGCTCCCATGTAGTACCATATTAATTCCATGGGTACCGGACTATGAACTCCTGAGATTCAACAGAGAACTACTAAAATTAAATAGAAAATGTACAGTAACTGAGATGTTTGAAATCGGTTTCTTCTTTTTAAATAAAAATTAACTTTTTTAATAGTAATTTTTATTTTTAGTGCAAAGTACTTAAGATGTAACTTCAAATTCCCGCTAAAAGCTTGATCGACTGCTGGCTAGGACGTCTTGTTACCTAAGGAGGTAAGTTAAACGTTTTTACGTGCAAATATCTTTCTCCGAGCTCGGTCTAAACCGTTCACTACTTTTCACGTGATTGAAGTGAACGAGAAATGGAAATACTATAAGCTTTCTCTGTCTAACACAGTAGAAACTAATGTGGTAGACAAAGATGCCCAATACCTCTAAACTCAATAAACGAAACTATATTAATTAAATATCTTTTATTTTACATGTTATTCTTATTTTTAGTGTCTATATATTTTCCATTATGGTCTGATAAGATATCTCGTATTGTAGCAGGCATTTTGCATATACAATAACATGTCGACAAACACGCAGATCCGGAATGATTGTAGGTCATACAAGCACAGACTCGACTGAGAATCGAATCGACGACCTTTTGGTTCGGACGAAAATAAACCAACCGAGCATTCATTTGATTTTGCGTTCGTTTTGCGCGTATTAAAATGAAGATGTGGTTTTTTTATGTGTGGGAAGGTGGCACGCGAGCTGACAGTTCACCACTTAACATCACCTGATGTTAAGTGATAACCGCCGCCCATGGACCACCATGGACATGCACCTATGAAGTGAGCCTCGGTTACCTCACTCTCCAGATGAAACGCAGAAGTAGTCACTTCGACTTCACGCCGGTCTTCATTGCTCACCAGACGAAACACAGAAGTGTAACACACTGCGGTCTCCTGTGAGGTAGTGGCACTTAACCGGATGTGTCCTTACCACAGTTAGTTGAGGTAGTGGCACTTAACATGCCCATGTGTGCAACAGCCGAAGCAGTTGCGTGTCCTTACCACAGTTAAAGGTAAAATATCGTGCGAGGAGGCAACGGTCGCTGTTCCAGATTACAATGATTTCGTTGTTAGAAAAATGTTATATTTCCTCGTAAATAACCGACTAAAGAGTGATATGTTACTTATATTCTAACAGAAATGTAAAAACATTATCATTAGTAGTACTTTTTTTTAAATTACTATTATAAGTACAAGTTCAATTACTACTTAAGCAAGTTTGGTGTTAAATTTTTCTCAGTATTTGTGACATGCGAAGTAGGAGTAATATCGTTTTTACATAACATAAAACAATCTGCAAATATTAAAATGAGAATTTCTCTAAAGTCAATATTTGACGTTTGGATCATTCAAACTTCGATTTCTAATCAAAGCTAGGAAAAGACCATTACATCCTTTCATTTGGGGAGGGTTAGCTTACCATTTTGCTAAATTTTGTTTACATAATACGACTAAGTAGCGTCGTTGGATTTGCGGCATGAGATCATCCCAGCTGGAATCCTCGAGGGTTAACTGCTCAAATATTTTCTCACTTCTCTTCTCAGACTAGTAACCAGCTGACACGTTTTGGATTACAGCGGCTCAGTATAACACGTAAGAAATTAATTGGGCACCCCTTTCTAAGTGAAAAGACAAGGAAGGTTGTGTTACGTGTTCCTCTGAAGGAATTGTTCTTGGCAGGGCTACGCAACATAATTGGTTTTATGAAATTGTTAGCTTTTATCTTTTATATTTTATTTCGACTATTTTATATTTTTTGGCAACACTATCGCATTGGGTCAGCCTGTAATGATAGTTGTGTGCGTAAGTGTAATAAATAAATAAATAAATAAATCAGGTATCGCACGAATGGGCAGGCTCGTCCAAGGAAGTATCACGGCCTCACAGAAGACCGTCGTAAATAGGCAGTGTTATAATTTTGCTTTTCACAAAGATGTTATTTATAACGCATGTGCTGAAAGAGTTGTAGAGTTCCATGGAGCTCGGTATAAACTTAACGTCAGGTGAACGACCTAATGTTTTCCAAATTACCGCATAAAGGAGACAAATAGTCGTAAAAAGACGACTTAGAAAAGTGTTGGAGTAAAGCGGCAGGCTGACCAAGGTACTAAGATCTCACAGAAGACCAGCGCGAAGTGAAAGTGTTACACCTCTGTGTTCCATCTGGTGAGGTAATCGGGGCCCACTTGATTAAAAGGTGGCAACGCATCTGCAACCCTGCGGGTGTTGCAAATTCCATGGGCGGCGGTAATCACTCAACATCTGGTGAAACACCAGCTAGCTTGGCACCTTCTAAGATAAAATCAGCCTACAGCTTGATTTCGTCGTTCTAGCGCGAGGTTTAACTAACAGCATTTTCTGAAACACTGATCATCGTAGATTTTAACTAATCAGCTGTCACATGGCTTTTCAAATGTCATTTGATTTGCCAAAAGGATGGTTAAACTATTTTAATGGATCGTTTTGATCATTAAGAAGATCATTCTGATCAATTTAGAGAGTTTAATCCTCCTTATGGCAACTTAAATAACATTTGAAAAGCCATTTGACAGCTGATTAGTTAATTTCTACGATGATCAGTGTTTCAGAAACCGGGCGTAAGCGTCTTCCGAATAAAAACCTTATCTGACGGAGATATAGCGCGGTCAAGGAACGATCCGGTTCGGCGGTTTTGGTAACAATCCTCCGCAGCTATCTCGGAGCATAACCTTAGAGTAAACATTAATTATATAAAAAAAATCGCCCAAGACTTTACTAATTAACTCGCGCAAAACGAGAGAAGTGTCCTTGCACTAGCAGATAATCATATTTTTAACATTATATTTATATTTATAACGTTCTCAATTACGACCACGCCAAAGTACACAGCGAGTGATTTTTCGATCCGATTATCGCCCACTTCCCAGACTGATTTGGAGTCTGCCGGGCGATTTTTGAAGCGACTTCAAAAAAGAAGGTGGTTGATAATTTCTTGCTCGTAGTAACATCCAATTATGATACATAAATACGTCGGGTGAACCGCCAGCTCACTTACTCCCATAAAAAAATTATCTTACTGACCTTTGTATAAGATTTTTGAGATTCCAAGACAATGAAATTAATATGGGACCACACGGAAGCTGAAAGGAACCTAATGCAAAAGAATATTTAAAATCGTTCCGTATATGACGGAGTTCTGAACTAACATCATCGTATACATGGACAGGAGGCCCATATCCCACCTAGGTGGGGTTGGCACGACAGGTGAATCATGTTATAAGCGGTTTTGGCTGTATTGTTTTACGGCCTGCCACCTTCCTGACGTCAACCCTCCTTGGGAAACAAACATCCAGATCCGGAAGAATTATCTGTGGGTCACACAAATACTTGTCCCGTGTGGGAATCGAACCCACGACCCCCGATGCCAAAGTATAGCTTAGCAACGGCGTCACCGAGGCATACTGAAGTAACTTACATAAAAAAATTCAACCGAAATTGAGAACCTCTTTTTTTGAAGTCGGTTAAAAGGTACACACGTGTTCAGGAAAGTCGTCCACACGAGGTTTACACCATCTAATGTACTCCCTACTGTACATAATACGTAATTTATACTAGTTTCGTTTGTATTGGTTTTTTAAATTACCACTTGCGTGACGTAACACAGACGCGGAATGCGACGAACAAGTAAACTCGCGATGGAGTTTTGTTTAAACGGATCGGGTTACCATGCGGTTAAGTACGGAGTTTAACTATTCAGGAGATCGGTGGGTTTATCTTTCTTTATTTTTATTAAAAAACATTACCCTTACTTTGAATAACATTATCCTATGTTGTAAGGACGTTTTACAAACATTGGAAAAACACCCAGATGCGAAGCAACCATCGTTGGGTGACATAAATAGTTGTCCCGTGTACTGAACCCACGACCCCCGACGTCGAAGCCAATACCTTGGCAACTACGCCACGGAGTCATCGCAATTAATCCGTTGTCCATAATCTATTTTTTATTTATTTGGGCAAATCAACAGTTGTCGCAATATTACAGTACACTCCATCATATAAGAGTTTAAGTTAGATATGAGAACAAATTACATATGTACACAACAATTACTAAAAACTTTTGACACACAAAACATTTCATTAAAATCGGTCCAGCCATTTAGGAGGAGCTTAGTGACATACACACGCACAGAAGATTGTAATGTAATGTAAAGATGTATTAATTTACAAAAAAAAAAGAAAAAAGTATGTTAAGAATATTTATCAGTTATTTAATAGGCACAGTACAAGCTTTGCTTAGTTTGGGACTAGATAACGTTGTGTAAATATATAAATAGTTAGGTATGGAGCAGTGATAGCTCAGTGTCCCGACGCTCACTTTTACGTCAATAAACTCAACCTAAGTTCAATCCGACACCAATGACATTGTTAATTATAAATGTTAAATTACCACGTGCTCAGCGGTGAAGGAAAACGTTACGAATTAAGAGTACGAGTAAAACAACATATTTTCAAAATTATAACGAGAAAAAATGTTTCAAAGATATGTGAAGTTCGCCATTCAGCGGTGAGGTCGCGTGGTGGACTATGCCTCTTCACAGAGGCCTTTGCCCAGCAGTGGGACATGCAGGCTGTTAGTAAAGGTTTCATGTGTGTGCGTATTATTATCATTGTAACATCTTTTTGTAACACGTCACGCGACTGTCTGTGAGAATGGTGTTGCAAATCAGTCCACCTACACTACGCGGATAAAAAATACGAGTATCACTTCACACGTGCAAATTTCTCGGCA